TGATTTCAGAGGATGCAGAGAAACTACAAGCAGAATACAAGAAGCAACCCTGTCATCTGGAGCGACTGTATGGTATCCTTTGTCAAATGTAGTCATAGGTTTAGGGTAATACAACTGCAGGTGTTAAGGTCAGAATTGGGCTGGTATGTTGAGATATAGATTGTTAAGTGCACGTTGATGACAGCTTTAGATATATTTGGGGATGGCAGCTTGTAACACATGTAGGTTTAGGGCAGAGTAATTGGATTGGGAGTGATGACATGTTGAGAGTCCTTTGGGGGAGATATGGCTGTAAATTTTGTCAACTACTGTACTTAATTCAGTGCCAAAAGACATGTATTTGTCTCACAGACTATTAGGCTTCAGATTTTTTGTCTTTTCCCCGGGGGGGGTACTCCCCTATATTCGCTATACGGGGACGTGCCGCCAGCTAGGGTATCGTTTTCAGCGATTTTACTCTGGAACTGGGTATCGATTTTAGCGATTTTACTCTGGAACAGGGTATCGATTTCAACAAATTTTCTCTGGGACAGGGTCAGGGTTGAATTCCGGAATTATTGATGCTGGATAAAAATTCATGGGGTAAAAATTCGGTCTACACGCAAGCTAGTGCAGGATTTTACTCTGGAACAGAGTATCGTTTTCAGCGATTTTACTCTGGAACAGGGTATAGTTTTCAGCGATTTCACTCTGGAACAGGATCAGGGTTTTGAGGTCCCAGCGGCACACCCCCACACAAGTTTCGGGGGAGTACCCCCCCCGGGGTCTTTTCAAATAAGTGTGAGTTGTATGTTTGGATATATTCAGACAATCTAAAGAAAAACAGGCCAAAACATTTTCACTTCGATCGCAAAAATCACAAAATCACGGGGCGGGATCACCAGATACCCTTTGGAAATAAGGCTGGTAATACATGTAGAAGTTTGGGTATAGATTTGGTTGATGATAGGCCAAGATAGCCTGCGTGCAGCCGAACCAAAACTTGTTGGAACATAACAACAAGTTTTGGTTCGGCTGCACGCAGGCTAGGCCAAGAGGGTTTTGTTGAAAATTGAGCTGGTGAACATTTKTGATAGATTGGCTTAGTTGATTGTTATGACCAACAATCATAAAAAAGTCATGGATTTGTTGTTCTGGGTAGGTGAATTCAGTCTGACTTGTGTCCAGTCTGTGTTTAGTAATGAATTGAAGTTTAATATAATGACCCTTAACCAACTTGAAGGAATGATTACCGACCTGTATATTGACAAGTTCAAATTCAAGGTATTTTATAAGTGATTTTGTTTGCGGGTATGGAAAAAATTCACAAAGAAACACAGGGCAGTCAGACTTTTATTTGTAACTACTTTGAACTTACGTAGCAGTAGCACACCATTTTATTAATTTGTAGACTGACAGCAATGTTTCCTCTCAAAATTCTTATTCATTGTATTTATTTAATTTAATACAATTATGACATGAATGATATTTTATTAGTAAAATTACGGTCATGACTATACATAGACTCATTTCTTTTATTTTTGTCTACAGGGAATGAATGTCAAAAGCAAAGTACCAGTGCTGCTTGAAATACTTGATAACTATGATTTACAACAATTGTGTGATTTCTTTGAATCATAATGATCTTTTAAGAAGAAAATCTCAAAAAAAAACTGTTTGTTGAAAATGTTTTCAAAAGTGGAAAAAATACATTCTTAACCACAAAGAGTTCCAGACGTTATGCCATTCGAAGAATGACAGTGGCTCTAAAGTATTTATTTGACAGATTAGAAATGTTCAGCTTGTTAGGTATCTATTTATTCAAGATACCTAGTTCACTGCCTGAAATGTTTGGCACTGTCAACAGTCTCCCTCAGCACTTCCCAAGAGCCTGTCCACAGCCTATAAATTATCGCATGCATCAACAGCTAAGTACAATATAATCACAATGTACATATAGGCAAGGGAAATACATGACATATATCAATAAAAACAAGGAAAAACCTTCATTTTGGATGGTATAATTTATGTTGGATTTACACTTTATGTAAGGTTAATATTACTGGCAATGAAAATGAGTTTGATGATGATGATGTCAATATTTTTTATTGAGTGCAAATAAACCATGGTTTCATCAGTACAATGTGACATGGATATTTTTCTTGCAAGAAATCTGACTGTTTATTTTCACTCAAAGAAACTTACCAGATAGTCTCCTTTCGCATCCCTTTTCGCTTCGGGCTTCGTGTCCCTGAGGGACAGGAAGCCCGAAGCGAAAACGGATGCGAAAGGAGACTACTTACCAGAGTGATCGCACTTAATCCGTGCAACTGTACAAACTAAATAGTTCTATTTAGTAAATCGTGCATGCGGTAYGCAAATTAAATTGGATTAAAATGAAGCATTCAATACAGTCTTTGCTTCAGGTCCACTTTTAATACAAATTAATACTACTTAGATTTTGTACACAAATTAAATTGGATTAAAATGAAGCATTCAATACAGTCTTTGCTTCAGGTCCACTTTTAATACAAATTAATACTACTTAGATTTTGTACAGTTGTACCCTTAATTAAGTGCGATCACTCCATCATCATTTCAATAATCACAAATATTTATATATCTTTTGTACTATTATGTTGAAAAGATACTGCTGATGCTGTATAGTTGTTTGTGCACACCTGTATGTTTTAGAGTGTGTCATATATAATTTCAATAAATTTTATAAAAAGTTAATTTACAATCAACTAAAAAGGTATTATAATCAACGTAAATTATGGTGTACAAACTAGATACAGTACTATGAAATAGTAAATGTACAGTGGTCTGCTTTCATTTATTTTCGACTGTATTTACTTGGCTTTACAATTGTTTCAAAAAAACCTGTGAGCAAATCTGGAAAAAGTATTTTGTCGCTTCAATTCTTTGGTAAATATATACTAGACAAGARTCAAAACATTGTTCAAAAAGGTAATACAATTAAAGACTGATCTTGCRAAGCTTATTTGGTCTAAACAATTTTTATGAGATTGTTTACATCTCCAAAACACCGCATACTTATTTTTAGGTACTCAAGGTGTTTTTTGAATCAACTATTAAGCAAAATTCCCACTGGATCTAAATGTTTAGATCACTTCTATACAAAGAGTCTTGATGACTAGAAGGGTTTTTTTATTACTAATAGTATTCAAATATCAATTGCTCCATGCATGTTTATAGGGACCAATGTCACTGTAATTAAAGGTGATATTGCATCAGCTAGCTAAGAGCAAGACTAACTAATTCTTAGTTCCCAACATCTTATGAATCACTGCAAATTTTCATATTCTTGAATAATTTAAATGTGAAATGTATAAAATAAAGAAACATCATTGCCATCACTACCAGGGGTATGTCAGAGATTCCATGAGGGGGACTCCAGTATTTTCTTTTTTGTGAAAAAGGAAGAGGAGTTCTGGAACCCCCTTGCACTTGCCCCTATCTATGTATGGTAAGTGTGACCACAATGTCATGATACTTTATTCACATACTGCAGTACTTGTGCAATCATGTTTTATATAAAATATATTACGTAAAGTCTTTGACTCCACGTCTTGTCAATCCATATACTAKAGTGCTAGTGAGACTTGTTATACTTGTGATCAGCATGATGGCATTAMATCTTCACTGATGGTTTACAAACATCATCAGCATTGTCAGGACAACAGCAAGCAAACCTGAAAAATACACACATAAAAATAATTCATGAATATTCTCACCAATTCTCTCTCTCTCTCAATCTTAGTATAAATCAGTTGTTATTTTTAACCAGTTAGCAAAAACCATGGCTATTAAATTGGTTTACATTTGCCATTACAATGTTTTCCCATTAGTACTGTAAATAATAATAGCAAATTAGCTACGATGTAATTTAGATAGTTTTTATATTGTCTTGTTTTGACCATGCAATGACTTAAACAATTTAATATTTAGTAGTTAGAGATGCTTTTAAAAAGGGTTATTAAACATACAAATGATTAAAAAACAGATGCTTTATGTTAAAAACCTGCTAAATGTTACATTTTCCCATGTGAGGTTTAATCTCACTCTGTGAGTTAAGCATAGAAGTTGTCACTACCAGCAGATAAACTGTCTGTCTTTGCTGTTGCTGATTCTGAATGAGTAGTTGCTGTTGCTGATTCTGAATTAGTGGTCACTGTTCATTCTGAATAACACAATAATTTATGGTTGTGGTCGAGATGTTAAATCGGAATATTAAGTGATGCTGCTGATTCTAAAAATTTGGCTTTTGATAATTCTGCTATATTTTGAAGTTGTTTAAAACATGTTAAATAAATGACCCTTCGGCCTCGTGTTTATATCTCACGATAAAACACTCCTACTTGTTTTTTAAATATCACATAA